CCCAAATGTATACATACTAACAGCTGATAGCTCAAATGATGTTTCTTCTTTTCAGGTTTAACCTAATGGAATTATTACAATTATTCAGAGTGTATATACATTTTTTGGGGAGGCACCCTGTGTTTGACTAGAATGAGGATTTAAAATACTGAATGGTTATAGTGACATTCATAAAAATTCTCAAGTCTTTGATGGAGGCAGGTCCTAGATGGTTGAGTTTGATGCAGCGGTAGAATATATAGAACACTTAAATTTGGAGTTGGAAAAAAATAGATGGAAAACTAGCTGTCTCTGAGCTCATGTGCTAGGTTCACACTAGTTCATTAAATGTGTTAATTTATACTCCACCTACTTCAAAAAGAACTTTGAAGCATCCTGGCAAAGTTCATCACTGTTGAAAATAGATTTTATTTTGTTATACAACAAAACTAGTTAAATACAGCAGAGAAGTAGAGACTAATAGATATTTGAGGTGTGTGTTCATACTAGTAAGCCTCAGCAAGTCCCTAGAACTCAACACACGGGAAGGGGGAACCTGTCAATCATCCTTTTTCAATAAATAAACACAAGGGAATTAGCTGAGTCATTCTTCCGTTTCTGAATTCAAAGAAAATATATTTTGTGCATTCTTACATAAGGGATGTTTTGGTAGAGGTAATTATTTAACAGGTTGGTAGTCCTAGGGGAAATTTTCATCAGTCTTTATAAGTTAAGACTTCCTGTAATTCTAGTACAGGATTTTGCTGAGAATTAGATGAAATGATCTATTCCTGTTTCCTGATAATCAGATTTAATAAAGAAATGAGATTTTAGAGAATCTAGAGAAATAGTTGGAAGAATTATTATTCAGTGATCCTTTGAAAAGTACTAAATTACTCAGTATTTCTCTTGAGCAGTACCTTAAATTTCTGCAGTAGATGCATTTTTTAAAGGAGTTCTCAGATGGGAACTGACTTTTTAGAATATTGAAAATGTTTGACAAGTCTAAATTATATTTCCCTACCTCATCCCACCACGCCCTGCCTTTCTCACTGCCCCCCCCACCCCCCAAAAAAAACAAACAAACATGCAAAGCTTTGGTCTGCTAGAGTATGGACTAATAATGCTTGATTGCAGCTTCAGGGCCTACCAAATAAAATGAAAAGTAATGCATTGTCAACCATAGGTAGAACTCGATACATTTTCATTGCTTTAGTAATATAAATTACTGTAGAAAGGACCTTCAGGTAGCTTAGTGAGTAAGTGTTCAATGGATCTTTAATGTTACTCATTTAAATGGAGAGGACCAAAGAGGAGGCTTTTAGTTCTAATAATGTTAATAACCTTGTTGGGTTATTTTGTCGTGTTCTAAAGGGTTATATGTAGCGTTTCTGTGAAACGAGCATTGTTTTTATTTTGTTAATGAGAAAACTAAGCTTCAGAGGTTTAGCAACTTGTAGTAAAAGGACTTAGTTGGAATTCATACCCAAGGTCTTTCTGTGTAAAGCTTGTGCAGTGCTATGTCTTGTATGTATTTGTTCATTTTAATTTATTATTAATAAAAATCTGTTTTCTACTGGACACAGAGGATACAGTTTGAAGCAAAGGAAATAAATTTGAACAGAGTCAGGGTTTCATTCCTAGAGCATACTCTCCGTAGGAGAGGGCAGTGATGGGTCTCAGATGGCGGCAGCCTGGGCCTGCCAAGAAATTCTCTGCTTTACATGACTTGCTGTAAGCACTACAGAATATGTTGATGTTTTTCTGCACCTGGTGAATAGACTGGCATAGCGGTAGAAATTAAGGCTACAAATACATTAAAGTTCCCTTGACAGAGGTATCTTCTTAAAGGATCTGATGATATCCTAACCCTGGGTGGGCATTATTATTAACAGATGGGCACCTTTATGGGGACTTAATGTGCTTCTCCCAGGATTGATTTCAGCTTGGACAGCTTTTGGTGTACAGTTAACCCCTTATTAACTGCATTAAGGAACTTACATCCTTTGTCTTTTATTAATACTCAGGTATTAAGTAATCATACAAGTAAATGCCAGATTACTGCAGTGAGTGCTTCAAAGATGACTGTCAATAGAATGAGCACTTGGGAGGAGGTTTTGATTGGGTTGGGGAGGGTAGGGAAGGCTTTCGTCACTAGGCGATGCTTTAAGACGGACGAGTGTGTACATTAGCTAGTGGGAGGCCCTGTGTAGAGTATTACAAATAGGATAAAACAAACCCATTTTAAAGGCTCTGTGTTAGGAAACTGAAAAAGATCCTTGTGCCTGGAGCAGAGGGCTACGGAGGGAATCGGGGTGAGATGAATCTGGGAAGGTGGGGAGGAGTTAGGTTTTTGTTTCTCCAAAGATTGGGAAGTCGTTGCTCTTCTTAAGGGGCAGAGAGAGTGGGTGGTGAGTATTAATCACCTAATCAGATTAGGTTTTGTGAAGATAGACATGCCACAAACACATCCATTTAGGCATTCTCTGTATGAGAGATGAAAGTAATTTGACTGTGGTTGTGGTTGTGGTTGGAGGAAAGGAAACAAATATGGGGAAAACTGGGTAAATGAATAGAATGCAGCGATGAATTTCTAGTTGATTAACCAACAAACTCGGTTTACATTGCTTTTATCGTCTGTACAAGTTGTTTTTGCTGTGTTGTAATGGCCAAAGGTTAGTTTCCAGACTTGTACATAGTATTGTGCAGCATTATTTAAATCTTAGCATCACTGAGTGCAATGCAAATTTCAGTCACTGTTCATTTAAGCTTAGTTATTTCTCTGTTAACTAATTCCTCACTTGTCTCTGTTTTCTAAGTAGTATTATCCTTTGCTTAAAATGGAAATTTCAAAACAAAAGTGTTTCTTTTTGGAGGGAGGAGATTATTGCTAAACATTCTATCCCTTGATTTCTAAAAAGTTTTATAGAGATATAATTAACATACCATATAGTTAACCAATTTAAAGTGTATAAGTCAGTGGTTTTTAGTATGGTTGTACAACCATCACCACATTCAATGTTGGAATATTTTCATTACCCCTAAAAGAAACACAGTACTCATTAGTACTCACCCCTTATTTCTCCCCACCTGCTCCCCCCTTCTCAGCCCGTTGTAGAAAATCACCAATAGATTTGTCTTTTCTGGACATTTCATATAAATACAATCCTATAATTTTTTAATATGTTTTTTTTAAAACTGAGCATAGTATTTTTAAAATTCATCTATTTTATAGCATGTACTCCATTTTTTTTTTCATGGCTAGTATTTCATTGAATGGTTATAATGCATTTTGTTTATTCTGTTTTCATCAGTTGATGGACATTGGGTGGTTTTCACTTTTTAAATGAGTTTTTTTAATGAATAATGTTGAGGTGACCGTTTGTGTACAAGTTTTTATGTGAGCATATATTTTAAACTCTCCTGGGTATATGTAGCTGGGAGTGGAATTTCTGGCCATATTATATATTACTGTGTTTCATTTTTTAAGAAACTGCCCAGCTGTCTTCCAAAGCTGTTAATACCTACCATTTTGCATTCTCACTAGCAGGATATAAGGGTCCCAGTTGCTCCACATTCTTACTAACGCTTATCATTTTCTGTGTTTTTGACTATAAGCAAGTATGATGTAATACCTCACTGTGGTTTTGATTTGCATTTCCCAGATGGCTAATAATGTTGAACTTGATTTTTCAAAGAAAGGCAGTACTTTGATTTCATTGAGAATATAACATTGGAAATGTTTGGCAATTTCATGTAATTGCTTAGAGACAGTTAGTTTTACTGAATTTAAAATTTGTTGGTTGCTCTGGTTGGTGCGGCTCAGTTGGTTGGAGCGTCGTCCTGTCCCGTAAACCAAAAAGGCTGTGAGTTCGATTCCCATTCAGGGCATGTACCTAGGTTTGGATTTGAACCCTGGTGTGGGCTTGCGTGGCAAGGCACCTGATGGATGTTTCTCTCGCGCGTCGATGTTTCCCTCTCTCTCCCTTCTCCTCTCTCTAAAATCAAAAAGCACGTCCTTGGGCGAGGATTACAATTTGTTGTTATTTTCTTTATCAGCTGTATTCCCTGAATGACTACAAACCACCAATTTCTAAAGCAAAGATGACCCAAATTACTAAGGCAGCCATCAAAGCTATTAAGGTGAGTAATAAATTTTATTCTTGTTTTTAAAAAGAAAATAGTACACTAATATTTTGGAGCTGGGATAATTTTTACAGATTATATATGTTCTTCCTCCTTACAGAGTTAATACATATTCATGGGGAAAAACACAAAAATGAAAATCTATCACTGTAAACTCTCCCACCTAGAGATAAACACAACATTTTGATAAATGTTCTTCCACAAACTTTGAAGCAATCGTTTTTTTTTTTTACTTTTCTTAGGCAGGTAAGATTTTAGATATAGACACATTTTGGAGAATGTGTTAACACTTATTTGGCACTGACTTTACAGAATCTTGAAATCTTGAATTTAGTAAAATTTTTCTATTAGTAGAAGTTTTCTAAAAAAATTTATTGATTTTTTTTCTTATTTATTGTATTATAGATTTGAAAATGAGCCATTATGGAAAATATTTGAGCCTCATTGTACAGAGGACATTTGGACTGTGGGAAGAGGCCACAGACATTTAGCTATTGCTCTGATAACAGTGGTTTTGAACATACTGACTCATGGATACTTCTGAAAATCTCAGAAACAGATTGGACCCTCTCTAGAGAAGTATACATATGCACAAAATTTCTTGGCTTTGAGGACCTTTTGAAGCTCAGCCATAGACATCTCTCCAAGAGGTTCCTGTCCCCAAAGCTAAGATTCCCTGCTTAGTAGGGCTGTTAAAATTGAGAATGAGTGCTTATTTCTAACTAGGTAGGTATTAACCTATGGATATTTGGTGATATATTTTCTTACTCTGAATAAGAACATCAGCCATAACCTGAAGCACCAGGTTATATTAATTTATTTTCATAAATTATCTTTGAATAACAGCATTATCAATTAGATTTAACAAATTCCTATTTACAGAGAATTGCCACTAGGAGAAAATTTGTATAATTAGATGATTTTTCAGTGTTCTAATGGCCAAATCTTAGTTTTCAGACTGAAATCTGTAGTTAATATCGTACAGCGTTACGGTTAATATCCCTGTATTTAGAAAATCGAAGGAGGGATGAGGACAGTTGCCAGTGAACATATTTAAACCAGAGCATTCTTCAAAGAAGTGATTTTTCAGAGTATCTGTGATGGGCTTAGTATAGAATGTTTAGTCTCTTGTGCTTTCTTTATCTGTGATATTCTACATTGTGATCTGATTTTTATGGTCGTGATCCTGAGTGTGCTCAAACATGTATATTATCATCATTTTTATTCTGTGAAAATTAGTAATTGGTGCATTTTACATAACTTGTTTAGCAGAATACTTTTTGATTAGAAGACTCTGTAAGGCATAGGTATTAACATTATTTCCATTTTTTTAGATATTTGAAGGTCTAAGAGAAATTAAGTAATTTGCAATTGTTAGAATAAATCTAGGTTTCTTTCAATCAAGAGTCTAAATGTTATGGTACACTGTACTATTTTTTATTATTACTGTTTTAATTCTTTTTAATTTTGGAAAAAATTCAACAGATGTGAAATATTATTTTCTATACACGTGTACTTTCGTTTGGCTGGATCATTTGAGTTTCACATTTCATTTATAATAATACTTAATCTCTAAATACTTAAATTTGAATCTCCTAAGAATAAAGACATTTTCTAAGTAATCACAACACGCTGTGCAAGAAATTTTACTGTAATATACTTTTATCTAATATACAGTCCACACTTATATTTACTAGTTGTCTCAACATTCACTTCAGTAGTAGCTATCCCCTGCACCTCTGCTCTTCAGGATTCAGCCAAGATCACACATTACATTTATTTGTCCAGTTACCCAGCCTTTTTGTTTTTTTTGTCATTGATATTTTTGAAGAGTTCAGACTAACTGTTTTGCATACTGTATTATTTTAAAACTGCATTTAGTACATATATAAATTGAAATTTGAGCTGTTTTGAAATCAGATTTAAATAAAGTGTTTAATATTGAGGTGTAAGTGGTTTTTTTGTTTGTTTTTTTTTTGAAATCAGCATTTAGAGGATGGTTATTTTCATGGGTGCTTGTTAACATTGAACAGTCAACAAAACCTCACAGATAAGTGTTGTGGAAGAAGGCTCATGTGAATTAATAATCTTTGAATTAAAGTTTAGTAAGCAATTTACTCTGAATTATGTAGAGTACATAAAGTAATGAGACAGAAGAAGCACTCACTGTTAAGATGTTTTCTAGAAGAATTATTACTTAATATTACTTAGTAATTATTTAATATTTTATATATTGATTTTAAATGTTTAGGTACTTAACAGTGAGTAGTAGTTGTCTTAGCTTTTTTTACTTAAACTGTTGCATAAACTGTTCTAGTGGGGAAATTTTAGCCATGCTTAAACTTATTGTAGATTTTGATTTGTTGAATATGAGTAATGAGGTATTCCTTTACTTTTGAGTTTATATAAATACTGAATTTTATGATGCAGTTCATTGAATGTTCTTGTCTGTTCAGCCTAATGGGATATACCTTAAAAGCATAATTTGTGAGATCAGAAGTATAAGCAGAAGCACAATTCAAGTTAGTTCTTTTAACACAAATATGTTAATTATGAAGTTGCCGTTGAGGTATTAAAATTTATTAAGCACACCCAGGCCACGTGTGGCTCAGCAGTTGAGCATGGACCTAGGATTCAGGAGATTGTGGCTCGATTCCTGGTCAGGGCACATGCCCGGGTTGCGGGCTTGATCCCCAGTTTGGGGCATGCAGGAGGCAGCCGATGAATGACTCATTATTGATGTTTCTTTCTTTCTCCCTCTCTCCCTTCCTCCCCTCTCCCTACCTACCTACCTACCTTTCTCTCTCTCTCTCTCCCCCCCCTTCCTCTCTCCAAAATCAATAAAGATATATTTAAAATAAATAAAATAAAATAAAATTTATTAAGCATAAATTCTAGATGTTTTTTGTTTGATCTATAATTTCCATTTTTTAATTTTCAGGTTTATTCATGTGTTGGTTATAAAACTTAAATCTAAGTTTTCTCATAATCGATAATAACGCATTACTAATTTTTAATCTGCGTGCTCACTTCACTTCTGATTCATTCTGGCTGATCAGGTGGAACCTTGGACATCTAATTTTATGTACTTGCAGTTTCATTGTCCAGGAGATGCAGAGGAGATAAATTGAAAACCACTCCCCTGCATACCTTTATTAATGCTATTTGCTGACAGTTATTTGATTTTTCTAGTACTACCCTAATTTAGCTGAAAAAAATACTATAGAAAATCCTTTCCTTCCATGAAAATAAAGAAATATATATCTGCTAGTGTGCTTATCACAAATGTTTTGCTGTCATCTTTACTCGTTGTGAAAATATGCTTTCATAAAGACTTGACGATTCTGTGTATCTGTGGTAACATAAGACACTTCGAATATACTGGCCATATGCTTACTTCAGAAATTCCTTATTAGACATCATAGGTAGTTGCAAAGGTGAGTTACATGAATGGTTGTCTCAACATTCATGTTTAATATTCATTGTTTTGATAGACCTTTGAAACTGTATTAAATCCTATGTTTAGCAGGAAAATCTTAATCTAAGCAAACATGTTTTAAAACCATGCTTTCTTTTTCTTTTTTAGTTCTATAAACATGTGGTACAGAGTGTTGAGAAATTCATTCAGAAAGTAAGTATATAATTTTTCATATATACGCTAAATGTATTATAATTATAGATTAATGCCTTGTGCTCTTATTTAAATCAAATACCGACGTTTAGGTTGTTTTAATGGACTGATCAAAAGTGATTGAATTTGTTTTATTTTCTAGTTAAGAAGTGAAATGAAAGTGCTTTTTAGATAATTCTAGAAACAGTTTTCAGGTAGATGTTTTTGTTCATTTGCATTCCCACGGAGAACATCTGTTCCTTGGGGGGAAAAATGGCGTCAGTATGACTGGTTTTTAATGAAATTATAAACTCATTGCCTTTATAGCCTTTAAAGAAATTCTCATTTGTCATTTTAATCTGAATGCTTAGAGGGCAGCTCTCCTTTTAGGTAAGGTGTGAATAAAATTCTTGCCTACCAGTCACTTCTCTGCTGGTGCAGCTTGTCTCATCCATTAGGATATTATACATCTCAACATGTTGATATGTAGATCTGAAGTTCCATTTTCCAGGGTAAGCAGAGGGGGATGAAGTTGAAAGCCATTGTCTTTCGCATATTTAATAATGCTTTTTGTAGCCTGGGTCTGAGGTGACGAGATTATATAGTTTTTGCCTTCTTTGTGATCAGTGCACTGTTGGTGTCACAGTTTGGGGCAGGAGTACATAAGACTTAAAACATAAAATGATATGATAGGAAATCTGTACTGTAATTGAACTTGTTTTCTTCTCTGTCCATGTTCACTTGCCTAATTAGAAGTAGAAGCAGTTCTGAGCATCAGAGGTATATGGCATTAGGATTCAGCAAGCTTGCAATCAATGACTTTCTTGAACAAATACAGGAAAAAGGGTGCATGGATCAGAGTGAGATTACTGTCACTAAACTAGCTAGATAACCTTGAGTAAATCAGTTAACCTTTATGGGAGTCAGTTTTTGAGAGTATGATCCAACTGACCTAGAGGATCTTTTGTCAGAAATCCAACTCATGATGGTATTCAGATAACAACTTGGATAATGTCAGAATGAAAATCACACAAATATGTTTAAAGGTGCATTCTCTCAATCTGATAGTGCCTTCCTCCCCACAAAAGGGTAGAAATACTGTAACACAAGAAATTGGAAATTACTTGTAGTTTGAAGATTGTATTGTGTAGCTGAAAATTTAATATGACTTAGATTTTTAAAAAAATTGTTCAAAGAGTGAGAAGTAACCTCATGACATTGGAAAATCTTAAGAATTCTCATGTTTCGATACTGAAAGAATTTGAGGAATTGAAAAAGCATTTCAGGTTTTTCTTTTCTCAGATGTATTATTTTTGCCTGGCGGTAGGTATTTCTTTGAATATGTGGTAGTCAAAGGAAAGTAGCCTCGGCTAGATATATGAACTGAAAGACAAATATGCTAGGTTTTGGGGGAACTTGAGGGAAAACTATTTCAGACTTTGAAAAATGACACCTTTTAAACAGAGCACATATTTCCCAACTTTTAGGTGGGTTAAACCTAAAACTTTAATATCCAAACACCAACATTGTTGTCCTTCATAAAATACTTCAGATCCTTAACAGCCAGAATCTTGCAGTAGGTGCTTGTGAATTGGTGCTAAAGTTCTCTTTGTTTCTTCACTTAATAAAGATGTTAAAGACTAGGTTCTTAAAAAGGGGTTGAAGGAACATATGAAATACCACCTTATTTTTTTGTTGTGTGTGTGTGTGTTTTGTGGAGTGAAATCACTCGTTCTGCCAGTTAAAAGTCCCCATGGAAATGTGTGTTTGTGTTGAGGTGGCTGAACTTCCTTTTCTCACTGGTACTTGAGTTTCCAAGAAGAACTTTTCAAGAAAACAATTTTGATTTGGTGCCATATATGATTTCCAGGAAATTACTTTGGGTGAAACACTTACCTAATTAGATACAAAAGTTGAACCTGCTTTTTGCAGCCATAATTCCATTTTAATCAACAGTATGTTTGGGAAGCGTGTTTTATTATGCTTTGGATATGAAAACATTAAAAGCAGTGAACTTGTTAGTAAAAGGATTCTTTATTGTGCTTACCTAACTAGACAGGCTAGAAAAGCTATGTTCTTCAATTTGGGTAATGGATAAGAAGGTTGAGAAACAGTTATCCTCGGAAAACTAAAAAATGTTTTTGTAGGATAGATTGTTGGAATCATAACGGGAGTGTCATCTTTCTTACAGGTGTGGTATTTGAGAAAAGTTTTGAAACTTTGAGCTCAGTATATTTAGAATGTTATAATTTGGTGTTTGTTCCTACGTTAGTACAGAAACCCTTTTGTTAACTTATTTAAACCCCGATGCCCCTTGGCAATGCTTTATCCAGAGCCCTCCTCTCCTGGATTTGCTTCTTCCTTCCATGTGGCTTTGCAAAGTCATTAAGCGTAATTTTTAATTGTAGCAATACCTAATTCATTCTTTTGTTTTTTGTTGTTCAAGACAGTTATGCAGTCCTATTTTGGAACTTAGGTGATTGGCAGTTGAACTGAGTGTGTAGAGTAGCCCAAATAGATTCTTTAAAATGCCATTCCAGACAAAGATGGCATGGAATAGTAAACATCTCACTATTCATCACCTCAAATGAACAGTGTTCTTGTGTTCTGTAGGATTTGTGATGATTAGTCTGTCAGGAATTTTACCTTCTCACTTCCTTCCCTTTCTACTATTCTTTTTCCATCAGTGTAAACCAGAATACAAGGTACCTGGACTTTATGTTATTGACTCCATTGTACGACAATCTCGACATCAGTTTGGTCAAGAAAAGGATGTGTTTGCACCCAGATTTAGTAATAACATCATTAGTACTTTCCAGAATTTATATCGTTGCCCTGGAGATGACAAGGTATGCCTTTTTTTTTAGTAGATAACATTACCCTTTTGGTCTTAATGAGACTCTTTAGATTATCTTAATTTGTGATTTTCTGTTATCCTTCACTCTTAGTTAATTCCTAATTTGAATATTTAGTTATTACACTGGCCATGTTCCTTTTTGTTCTTAGAATCTTAAGTGGAAAGTTGTAGTTGATTTTGCTACTTTTTGATTTATCGAAACAATTGGTACTAAAGAAACTTGCTATCGTAAGCTTTTGGAATTATACTAAAAGTTTATTCACATGCACAACCAATTCAGAATTTTGATTATTTGACCTCATTTACTGATTTAGTGTCTGTGAAAAACAGATTTGGGAAGCAATCAGTAGAAAATAACTAGCTGCGTATCAGAATTCTTTTGTAATGGTAGAGTTTTATTGGTGCTGGAAACCACACTGCTAGGTTTGCTTGATCTGAATGAGTAAATATTCTGTGCCACATTAAAAAGGCATTAAACCCAGAGGGAGAACAGCAAGGGGTTGGTTATCTTCATATGTGCTCAAAGATACTGGAAGGTTACTTATTTGGGGTATTGATTTTGGAAATTTAGTGTGTTCTTCTAACAGGGTTGATTGCAATATTGATTATGTAGGAAAAGATAAGAATGATGAAGATTAATGGTTGCTTTAAAGAAGAACCACAAAACTTCAAAGCTCACCAGAAATCTTTTACCCTGTGTTAAGTACAGAAGATTAGGTAGTTTTTATTTTTAGTAATTAGTCTTTAATCAAGGAAAGTATCTTGTTATAATGGATATATTTGGAGATATTATTGTATCAGTTTTTGTAAACTATTCTTGGATATGCCTCTTGACAAAATTTTTTAGAAATAATTTACTTGGGTACTTTGATAATTCTATGCAGGCAGAAAGAATACTTCTAATTTTAAGTGACCTCTCATTAGTGATTCTTAAAATAGACACCTTAGAATCCCACCTAAAATAACTCAGTTAAAATTTTATTATGTGTACATTTTTTGAAGTTAAATACTTTTAGACATTTCACTAGTTTAGATTTGGATTTCTGTCATTTACAATAAACAACAAATCAGTGTTGGATTTGTGGATTCATAATAATAATGTTTCTCAGTTATAATAGAGTATAAGATACAGAGTTGTTTCAATCATAGTAGGAAAGATTACATTGATACTGTAATCTCAATTATAAATTTGAGGCATTGTTTGTATGTAGGTAGATACATAGAATGATACTTTTCAGAGACTGGCTAATTTTGAATTACAGGATGAGTGTCTTGCGAACTGGAAGGTTTTTTTCTGTAAAGCAAAAAACTGTAAGGTACTTTCTAAGTGCTCACATCATAGAAAGGAGAGTCAAATCAGAAGGTATGAAGCATTCTTTGTGTAATTTTCTATGCTTCATTTGAAATACAAAAGTTTTCTTATTAATCTAGTTTGGACATAGTTTGAAATTCATCACTATAATATTATAAGGGATTTAAAGATGAACCAGATCTTTATTCTTAAGGTTGCTTCTTTTACTATTACGGATTATGTACATTTAACAGAAGTCTCTTTTTAATACTTAAGCTCAGCCTGTCATTTAAATTATTTTCCTTGTCGAGTAAGTAACGTTACAGTAGTAACTAATACTTAGTGCCGAACAGTTGTGAAAGAATGTAAATTTGGTTAAATTCTTGTTTGAGGAAGTAACCTCCCCTATCCTTAGATAGTTTTAAAATGAAAATTTTAAAAAGTCACATCTGCTAAGGACTTTGTCTTGATTTTACTTAATTGTTTAAAAGATAAAGTTAAAATCAACTATAAATATAACTTTAATACTGACGTGAATCCTGACCTGCCACAGTAGCCTAACACAGTTCTCCAGCCAGCCATACCGTGATCTCAGGAGACTTCACATGGAAGCTGAAACCTAGTTGTTCCTGCCTTCTGCTAAATGCAGCTTTCGTTTACCTTGTATATCTGTCAGAATGAACCTGTGTGGGGTTTTTTCCAGGTGAGTTAAGGTTACCAAATGCAAAATTATAGAAGCAGTTTCAGGGATGGAAAGTCCTGTAGTAATTATTTTAATCTGTTCTTCCCACCCACTACCCAAATAGTCTATTAATTGTGCTAAGGTTTGAAAGCAAAAAATAAAAGTGTTATTTTTCTTTTTTCTTCTAGAGTAAAATAGTGAGAGTATTGAATTTATGGCAGAAGAACAATGTATTTAAGAGTGAGATTATTCAGCCTCTTTTGGATATGGCAGCAGGGATTCCTCCTCCAGTTGTCACACCTGTTCTGGCCAGTACTACCGCTGCTATGAGCAATACCCCGGGTATGTTGCTTTGACAGAGACTTGTTTTCCACATATTGTACCCATACTTTTCAGGTGATAATTCATATGTAAAATAATGATTTTACAGTGCAAGAGAATTTGTCTAGCATTAGGTAATTGGAAAAAAAATAATTTGAAGGAAAAATAAAATCAGAAATTATATTTGTATGTAATTCATTTCCAAAAATTAGGGAGCTGAATATTTTTAGTCCCTAGATACATAAATATAAAAAACTTTGGGAAATTGGTGTGTCAGTTAGGTTTTCTTCTGATTTAACTGCCTATAATCTTTTAAACTTGCATGCAAATCAACTTGATATTCACAGTATACTAGAGAAACTTAATATTATAAGAAACCATGAAAATTATTTAATGGAGCCAAGAATACTTCAGTAATCATCTCAAAATTGTTTCTTGAGGTATTTCATTGACATCTATACTTTTTTATCATCATCCAAGAATTACATTTGTTAACATTTTGGTATATATTTAGATTTGTGTGTGTGTGTGTGTGTGTATTTTTGAACAAAAATAGTTTTATATATACTAGTTTATAATTTTTTATCACAAGGCATTTTGAATATTTTCTTATGTAATTGAACTTTCAGCTGTAGCAAGATTTTTATTTTTTTTTACATGTGTTTTAATTGATTTTAGAGAGAGAGGAAGAGGGCTAGAGAGAGAGAAACAGAGAGAAACCTTGATTGGCTGTCTCCTGCATGCCCCCTGCTGGGGAATCAAGCTGAAAACCCAGGCATGTGCCCTGACCAGGAATCAAACTGGTGACCTCTTGGTTCATGGGTCAGTGCTCAACCACTGAGCAACACTAGTCAGGCTATAGTAAGATTTTTAATGACTGCTAAGTATTGCAGGCTCCTTTGAAGTAGTTAATTGAAGACAAGTATGGACGATCCTTTTGGTACTTTAACCTATCTAATTTTGTAATGGTTTTTCAAAATGGAGACAATAAAATAAAAACATATAAATTTGTATGTAATTGAAGTAACAGCACATTTTCCTACCTTTTCAAGTTTTATTTATTTACTTACATATTTATTGGGGTGGGTGTGATGTCTTTTAAAGGAACTCCTGTGACACCTGTTACTCCCGCCAATGTCGTCCAAGGTTTACCTGATCCATGGGTATCCCAGATAGCAAATACAGATACACTTACAGCTGTAGCTCAGATCTTACAAAGTCCTCAAGGACAGCAGGTGAGCAGCTTTTTTATGTTGACTGATACAGAACTAATTCTTCCCTAATGGATTGTTTCATAATGTACCACCTAAAGAGCATGTCTTTTCCTCAGTACTTACCATCTTTTGTTATGTTGTATAACTTATTTTGTTTATTACCTGTCTTCCCACTGAAATGTATGCTGTACAAGGGCAAAAGGATTTTTGTCTGTTTTGTTCTCTGCTGTATGTCCAGTTTCTAGGTTCTAGCAGGTGTTTAAAGTCTTTTTGTAGAATGAATAATGGATATTGGGTATGCAAAAGGTGTTTTAGAGTTGAGTTGTCTGGAGGATAAGGTGGCCTGTGCCTGTACGTTACTAGTGACAAAGTTGAAGTGGTAGACTTCACTGTGGGGCCTGGGTTTTACTTATACATAAGTGGTGGGCTGAGAAGTAAAGGATCTATATGCTGAGCAGTGGGGAATTTCCAGAGGTTTTTATGTGGAAGTCACAGTACTTTACTGGGTGGGAGAAGAGAGGTGGTCCGGAGATGGGAGCCTCTTTATTTTGGTACCCTATAACAGAAGGGATAGTGAATGTGAAAAACGGTCGGGCGATAGGCTCTAAAGGGACAGTCTCAGAAAAAGGTGGGGGCTGTTCTAAGAGAGTTATAAAAATACAAAAACCAATTCAGTTATACTCATAGTTTGGACCCAATTTCTATATGGTTGGGACAGTTGGGAAACTAAATTGATAGTACATAAAATTACTGAGTTATTAATTTTATTTTGTGATACATTTTGAAAATAATTCATAAAGTAAATGTTTCCATTTTTTAAAATATTTATGAAAAGAAATACTTTTGGCAGGAGACGGGATTTTCCAGGAAAAATAGTACATAGAGTGTCAAGAAGACATAGTAATTGATAGAATATGAAGTTCAGAGTAGAGGAAAAAGTAGGATCTTGCAGTGGTTTGAACCTGGGTGACTGGAAAAATAACAGTGCTATTGGGGAAAATGGGGTCAAAGCGGTCAGTTAAAATATGTAAGGACAGATAAGGCATTTCCTTCCTCCTCACTCACCCCCTTTCCTCTCCCTCCTTCCTCACTGTCCCCTCGATGCCGTTCCCCCTCTCTTTCTTCCTCTCCCTCCCTCCATTCTGTCTGTCCTATAGCTTCCACAGTGCAGAAACTCAAGTATCATATATTTTTAATTATTTTCTTTGGTATTATGTTAGCAGTTTGTGGCAAATGTTTATTTGATAGCTAATGTTGCTATTTTAGATAGGCATGAAATTATTTGACTTTATGTCATTTTGAGTAGCGGTTACTATTTTTATTTTTATTTTATTCTAAACTGATAATTTTCAGATTTAACTTGGCTTTACATCTTGATTAGAAAAGTATTAATTACTTCTAGGATTGAGAAGTACAGAGAGTTTACTTAACTATGAAATATCTTCAGGATCTTGCTATTTCTTTTTTTTAAGAGGGTGGGTGAAAAGGGGGAGGAGGGTTACTTTCAACTCTTGTTGCACTGTTCACCTTTATTTTCCTTAGTTTTGGACTCTGCTCCAAGGGACAGATTTCTCTGCTTTCCAGCTTTGAGGAAACATTTTATCAGATGACAGATCTGAGAGGCAGTAAAGGCAGTTGTAGCCAGTGCTTGTCCTTGAACAGAGATTAAATAGTTGAAGAAGGGATGAAAAGCTTAGTGAAAACATCAGCCTGCTTGTGATGAGTTCGTTATCTGGTTATCATTGAATGAATTCTTTGTTTTGTTTAAAATTTTCTGATTTTCCAGAAGGAAGACAAATTTATTAAGGGATATATCTGGCATACAAAAGCTATTTTTTAAAAAATGCTCTTGTTTTGAGTTAGTTTATATTTTTTCTTGATCTCTAATGACTAGAACGAATTTTATTGACTATAAGTTTTAGATGGACATTTTCGTAGATAAAACCCAGCACCTGTTTATATTAATTTTCCTTTTTTTCCCCTTCCAGTTTCAGCAGTTAATACAAACTTTACAGATACAGCAGCAGAAGCCCCAGCCTTCCATTCTGCAGGCCCTGGATGCGGGTCTTGTTGTTCAGTTGCAGGCTCTGACTGCACAGCTTACAGCTGCAGCTGCAGCAGCCAACACCCTCAATCCCTTAGAACAGGGAGTGTCTTTTAACAAGGTAGAAATTAAGATCTCAAGTTTGTTCTGTGTGAATTACGGGATTTTATATACTCTCTTGTGGGTTCTAATTGCATTTTATCATAGAACTATCTCAATAGCCACTGTACAATACGTTACCAGTTTTACAAAAGGCTCAGATTTCTGAAAGAAATTAAGTACTTTCATAATTCTGCTTGAAACATTTAGAATATTTTCCTTTGCACAAAGATAAAGAGATTTATAGACCAGTAAAATTGTGAATTTAGCATTGAGGCAAATGGTTATTTTCTGAACTATTAAATTTCTGTTTTGGATGTTACAAATATATTCATTATAGTGTTCTATAATTTTAACCTGCTAAAATTAAAACTGTTCAGTGTGTAAGTTCAAAGAACAACTTTTCTACGACTTGTCACTATATTATACTGATAAATTGAGGTCTAACTATAGTGTTTTTAAAGTTGAAAATCTTTCACCTATAGTTTATTGTGTGGTATCCTCAGTATTATTAATTATGGGAATATTAAAATACTTTTGAAGTGTGACCCATATTACTTTTGTTTTTGCTGCTGTTCTTTTTAATAGAAAATATTGATTTATTGAGTTATTAGATTTTTTTAGCTAGCAGCTTCCAAATGTAATTTAGTCTGACTCTAAATAGCTAGCCCACATAAGATCCTTTAAATTGATCATTTAGAAAACAGTGGAGCATTCTAAGAAAACTGTGCTAGAAATAGATCATTGATTATAGCCCTAGGTATTTTATCAAGCTTTAAGTCACTTAATTTTAATTCTAATTTTTTCTTCTGTAGAGTAATTAGTATTTATCCTGTGTGTCATGATTTGTTCTGATACATAAGGCAACGTATGTCAGAGTATTTTAAAGAAAAGATCCACTCAAAATGTTTCATTATAGTATAACTTACAAGGATATGAAACAGTTTCATATTAACTGTTGAGTGATACAGATAAATTAGTGGGATGTCATTGACCTTTAAGTAAAATAGCATTTCTAACAAATTTGTGAGAAACACTTTTTAATCTGTCTCTTTCCCCCCCCCCTTGCCTGCCCTGCCCCCCAGAAGTTGATGGATAGGTTTGATTTTGGGGAAGATTCTGAGCATAGTGAAGAACCCAAAAAAGAAAATCCAACGTCTCAACTGTAAGAATCATTATGTTTTTCTTTATAACCATAGATTTTTTTAATGTTATTTTTGGAAACATTGGATGGGATGTTGCAGTCTGAACTACTAGGTATACTTTGAGTAAGTTAGGCTGCTATTTCAGGCTTTGTGCTCTGACATGACAGAGGATGATAGGGTTGCTTTTTTGTCGCCTCACTATATTATTTTGACTCATATCTTTGCAAATAATTAGCTATATCAAAAGTCTTTATGAGAATGTTGAGAAGTGTTGATAAATCTAGTTGTGATATTTTCTACATCTGTCTTAGGCTTTAAGTTATTTAACTCATTTGTAAGAATATTTGAAATAATAGGAAAGAAGCTTGCTTCTAGTGCCAGTGGCCACTTCTGGTAAGTTTATTAAATTCTGGGAGTATATGACACTAACCAGAAGTAAGGATTAGGGTTGTAGGGATTTTGTTTATTTTTTTTAATTTTTATTATTATTTTTTAAAATATATCTTTATTGATTTCAGAGCGAGGAAGGGGAGAGAGAGAGAGATAGAAACATTAATGATGAGAGAGTCATTGATCAGCTGCCTCCTGCATGTCCCTGACTGGGGATCGAGCCCGCAACCTGGGCATGTGCCCTGACCGGGAATCGAACCCCGATCGCCTGGATCCTAGGTCGATGCTCAACTGGTGAGCCATGCCAAGCTGGGCGGGATTTTGTTTTTTAAAGAAATTATTGTATGTTTTTATTTAGGTCAGCCCCCGTCCTCCTTCCCCCAACAGTTCTGCAGAGCCCTAAGTTTTGTGAATGTTCTTAAAAGCAACACTGGGAAGACAGTCTTGGGTGTGATTTGGAAGGTGGGAGAATGGAAGGGGGATGACGAATGGGCAGAGCCTACGGGAATCTTGTTTCAGACAAGTTATTAGTTTTATAGGGATAATATATTTAAATATTTATATAATATAAAATACAAATATGTTCTTTGATAAAGGGGTTCTACTTGAAAAAATTAAAAACTAATGTTTTAGATTATGAATTGTGAAGTTAGAAGCATTCGAAATTATGTAGATGAGTTTCCTGAACACTGTAAGAATCATCTCTCTCTAATAGCCCTGACGACAGGGTATTTATCCAGTGTGGCAGTGCCTTCCATTGTGAGAACTTCAGTGATTGCTATTGTTGTATGTTGTTTTGTTACTGAATCCTGTTTTGATTTGCCTTCTACATGCTCTTCCCTTTTACTTTCTGAAGCAAGGAAACATGTTTGCTCCATTATCTTTTGAGACATAGCCCTTCAGTGTCTGAAGATAGGTACATTCTTCTCCTTAGCTTACTGGCTCTCGACGACATGCTCTTTTTCCAACTGTTTCAGCACTCCTCACCATCCTGATTGCCCCCTTTGGGATGCCCTCTTTTTTGTTCCTTTTACCTTGTGGCACCCAGAATTCCAGGTGTGGATCTCCCAGAGTATAGTGAAAGTATTTCCTCTTATCTAAACATTGTTTCTGTTAACATACCTAATAATGTGAATGCTTTTCTGAAAAGCAGATTAATTTTATGGTCAGTTATAATTGTAGATTTCATATGTACTGATAGAACATTTCCCCACTGTTTCATAGTTAGAGAACTTAAAGTGACAATGTTGAAATATTTTTAAACAGTTTTTAGAAATTTTACTGAGCTTTTCTTAAAATGTTCTATTGTAAAAAGTACTAATTTATATAACAGCGTGAGGTAGTAAGATCAGATCTTTATCAGAGTATCTAACGTCATTAATCGAAACACTATTGAAGAGTATATTTCTGTTTAAACATACTGATATTCTGAGGTATTCCATTTTCTTTGTTAATATTCAAAAAGTCAACATCGTAGTAGAGCATGTTTCATTTGGCATGGGAGGTAAGGCTGAATACTCAGTTATTTTTATATTCTCTTTACTGGGTTTTAAAATACATGTCTACCTGTTTTTCTTTTCCTTTTAGTTCTCATGTTTCAGAATCTGTGAACAACTCCATTTTTCATCAGATAGCAGAGCAGCTACAGCAGCAAAACCTTGACCATCTCAGGCAGCAACTCCTGGAACAGCAGCAGCCTCAAAAGGTTTGTAACTCCATCTTGTGGCCTTTAGAGTTACTGCTGTCTGTATTCTATAAATTGGTGTTTAAGTATGGTGATTTTCCTTCAGCTATTACTAGGACGATTACTATTTTTAGGATCTTAACGATATTTTCTGTAATCAAAATGTACTCTAGCAACTTCTGAAAGTACTTGCACCTTATGAATGGATTGCAAACATGGTAGACATTAATTTCAGTATACTGGGAGTGGGGAACAGAAGACAGGTGCTTCAGTACTACAGCTCAGTTCCTCTCCACTCTACCAGCTCCCTGTCAGGCAAGGTAATGATGATTTTGCTGTTGTTGATGGTGGTGGTGACAGAATAGATTGCTATCTTTACTTAGGCTATTAACATGTGGCAGGAACTTCATTAGGGTGATTACATTTAATGCTGATGGGATAGGCCTTTCGACTCCCACTTTATACCTTAGGAAATTGAAGTTCAGTGAAATGAAACATCTAATCTTTCTAATATTCAAAACTTTTTGGTGAAAATGAATTTAATAAATCACAAACATTTTAAAATAAGCATTGTTAGACAAATGATATACACAGAGGTGAACAGAAAAGCAAGACCTCAAGTAACCTCTTTAATGGAGCACATACATTCTTGTGGACATAGGCAGAATTCTAGTTTCTGTAACAGGTACAGTTGAAGGACTAGAAATATGGAAGAGGGGAAGAGTTACTTCAGATCAAAATGGGGCTAATCCTTAGACACTACTGGGGCCTGAACTTGTCCTTTTAATGCAAATAGTAAATGTGAAATGAATGTTAATGATATTTGCTGGAATTATGAAAATGAAATTCCATACCTTATTTTGAAGAAATCTGATAGAAGTGTTTGGAGTAGGTGCAGCGTTTATGTCAAACAAATACATATCTGCCTGAGATTTCAAGAACTTGAAGATAGAGCCCAATGAAGAACATTTGGATCACAAGTTGTAATTCAAGGAAAAGAAACAGGTTGTCAGTGATATAATGAAATCACAGAGCTGTTACAGAGGCAAGAAGTAGTAGTGATGGAAGAGTTTATCCAAGCAACATATTTGTTCATCTATCTATGTGATACTTTTGAATTGCCTTCGTTCTAGTTTTATTTCACAGGGTTTAGTAGAAGCAGTAAAATCAAGGTAGTACTCTTGACCAGCTTGTAATTAACACCAAGGTATTGAAGTCAAAGGTGCAAACTAATACGAACTTACGAGAGTGATTCTGTCTTAAGAATCTCACCCCTTGCCCCTTCCTCCCTTGGCTTAGTTAATTGCTCTATACATTATCTCCATAATTTTAGAAGATAAAGCAATACCCCTTTGAAAGGAGTAGATGTTCTTAAAAGCTTTGTTGTTCGGAAATGAGAGATGAAACAAAGGGAGTGGTGAAGAAAAACAACTTTCCTAATGCATAAGGTAGATACTGTTTAAAACAAATTTAGAATCTGAAAGTATATAAACAGTGTAGCAAACTGAATAAATTGTGTAATTGGCTCTACCAATTCAGTTGCTTTACTGTATTTAAGATAGGGTGAAATAAGCAGGAACATTAAGCATTTTTATATACCAGTAAGCTCAGTAAGGCTGTCTAAAAGTTGCTACAGTGTCATAGAGAAAAGGCTAGGATTACTAGTGCCACTCTAAACATTTAGCCTTGCCATTATATATCATTCATGATATAATCCCTTTATTAATTTGTGATAGTTTGCATTTTCCACAATTTAAAATTTATTTGAAGACGTACTTGATTTTATTATTCTATTCTAATATTATAGTCTTTTCCCCCTTTTATGATGTTCTATGCTTTTAAGTAAACTTGGATTTATACAAAAGTGTAAGTTTAGATCAATTATAAAAGATTAAACATGGAATTTTTTAATATATTGGGCTCTTTTTAAAAAATTGTTGTGTTTGTGTGTTTAAATTTTCATTTGTAATATTGACTACTTCTCAGTGTTTGTGTATTTATGACCGTTCTCAATAGGCAACGCCTCAGGACAGTCAGGAAGGAACATTTGGATCAGAGCATTCCGCCTCACCCTCACAAGGGAGCAGTCAGCAGCATTTCCTTGAGCCAGAAGCAAATTTGGATGATTCCATAGATATTCAGCAACAGGTAAACAGTAAATGCTTTTCTGGGTCATGAATTTATAAGTTAATTAGAGGAAAATATTATAAAAGATGGTAATTTTTATTTTAGGTAGAATATTACTTATTTTGTGTAAAACAATAGTGATGTCCTACATGTTTTTTCTCCCCACCTAAGCTCTGCAGTCTAAGCATTTTACTATTAGACTTAAATTCTACTGTGGGGAAAATTTTGTAAGGCAGAATTGTCCACATGTACTGCATCTAAACTAGGCATTTTGTTTGTTTGCTCTTCTTTCGACTTTTAAGGACATGGATATAGATGAAGGGCAGGATGGAGTGGAAGAGGAGATCTTTGAACAAGAAGCAAAGAAAGTGGCTGTTCGCTCGAGATCGAGAACACATTCACGCTCTCGTTCAAGGTTCTACATAATACTTAAAAATAATTGGGTGTAAACTTTTGAAATGTTGGCTTTAGTTCATTACATCAAGATGAAAAGAAGTGCTTTTCTTAGAAAAACATATTGTCTCAGAAATAATTTAGAATTTGAAAAAAAGAAAATACTTTGTTCTGTTTTTAATTGGATATATTTGTGGCCATTTATTTGAATAATATACATGAAACGCAGCCATTTCATGAGACCTTGAGTTTGGATTATATCTGATTATAGTTAATAATATTTTGATGACATCCAGCTTTTAGGATATTGATGCCTCAGAACAACAGTTAAATCAGGCTGTAGAGCAGGGGTGGGGAACTTTTGGCCCATGGGCTGTATACTGCTGTGAAATCATTTGGTCTGGCCCTGCCGAGGCCTCACCAGAGAGAAGCAGTTCCAGCCATCACATTAGGGATGAGTTAATTAAATGTTTGACGAAATATAGCAGGCTAATTTTTAAGTAGATCATTTTGTAAGACCCATGAATGATGTTATAAATAGCCAAATGGCCCTTGGCAGAAAAAAGGTTGCCCACCCCTGCTGTAGAAGAAGTGTTAAAGGTTCTGTTGTCTTTCTCAAATTCCATTTCATCTCACAATACCAAAAATGATCATAAAGATAACACTACAAAAACTCTTTTTATAAACAGTAAGCATAATATCAAACTATTATAAAATATCCTGTAAATGTTTTTTTGGTGAGCTTTTCAACATGGCACATTAATGTACATGCTCATTCAAATTTGAGTTGAAGATGCCTTATCTTGACCTGGTAAATTTTTATGTAGCATTTGTACATTGTTTTTACTATAAATGATATTAAAACCGAAAGTCACTAGTCTTTAACATTTTTTATACCCTGTTTTCTGTACATGAAAACCTGAACAATATATGCTAGAAGAGGGAAAAGTCTCTTTGATCACTTTTTCAGTCATTTCTTGTTTGTTTCATGAAGTTATGTGTATTTACGTTTCCTAAATGAGAGGCTGTCCTTTCAGCTTTCTCTAAATCCACCTCATGTCACTGAATTACCTGGCTAAATAGTGCTGAAAACTTTGCTCTAGCAAAGCAGCCTCTTCATTGGTCTTGAGGCGCCTCCTTAATAAGTGTGTGGAGAAGTTGAAAGATTTTAAGCAGAATTATAAGGTGGCCTGATGCTCTGTTGGAAACATTCTTTGATTCCTAATTTTAAGAATGTAACATCCACGTCACCTAAAGGATCTTTTTATTTTCTTGTTTTTTCATACCTGTTTGTGACTCTGACAAATGAATTGGCAACACTAAAAAAAAGTGAGGCCCTTACTAGGACCTCTTCTCCTGTTGTTCACGGTGTGACTAACGACCGGACTCCGTGAGAACTAAGTGAAAACAAGTCTTGTGACTTGTGTGGACCTATGTAGTACACAGATTTAGAAAATGCATGTTTGTTACTTGACTATACTTAACTGTTTTAAAGAGGTAGACAAATATAAGACATGTTTCTCTTAAAAGGAACTTGATAGAATAACATTGTCATTTGTAGTAAAATAAAATTTTTTTTAGATCACCAAGAAAACGGAGATCTAGGTCCCGGTCTGGATCTCGAAAGCGTAAACACAGAAAGCGGTCACGCTCGCGCTCAAGAGAAAGAAAGAGGAAGTCATCACGCTCATACTCCAGTGAAAGGAGAGCTAGAGAAAGGGAGAAGGAGCGGCAGAAGAAGGGGCTGCCTCCTATTAGGTCTAAAACATTAAGTGGTAAGTGACAGGCACACTTCGACAAACTTCGGTGTCTACAGGTCTGAGAAAATAGTTATCTGCTACAGAGCCTATAGATCTTTCTTTAAGACTGAGAATTTGAAAAGTGGTTTGGTAAATGAATAATTTTATCCTTGGTTTTTGTAATGTAATAGGGGAGAAAAGGAAAGGGAAGAGCAGTTTCCACTCAAATACTAAGGTCATTGGGAGTTGATTGATTGATTTTAATGCAAGTTACAAAATATAAGACTTGACTAATGATACATAAAGTGGGCAGGCATAGGTTGACTTGGCATAGATGGGAACAGATACCTAGGATTTTAGTTGATTTTAAATAGAACAGATGAAAATTTCAACATGTATTTTAAATTTGTTGTCTTAAATTTTAATTTTACTGTAGTAAAGCTTTCTCCTCAGCTCCTTGAAAAAAGTAACCGTCTCTGTAATTACGTCTTGACAGTGTGCAGTACTACTCTCTGGGTTGGTCAGGTGGACAAGAAGGCTACACAGCAGGATTTAACCAACCTATTCGAAGAGTTTGGACAAATTGAATCCATTAATGTAAGTATCAGTTGTTGAACAATAGTTTAAGGTTAAAAAAAGAAGAGGGTTTTCACTCATACAAAGAGTCATTTTATTATTTTATTTTATATTTTATTATATTTTCAAAGAATCACTTTAGTCCCTAATTAGCCCAATTGTATCTGCCCTTACGGATCTTTACAAGGATTGTTGGACTTTCATCGTTTCTGTGTACATTGTTCTGCTGTTTATCACCTTAATAATTTTCAAAGTGGTATTTTGACAAAAATTCTCTAGGGTTTTACAGCAATGTGACACTTGATTCCTAAAGACATTGAATATTTGAGTTAGCAGGAGGTAGTGTGATCTAGTTTAATTTCTTCTTATAAAAAAGAAAATGAGCCCCACAGAGTTGTAATCAGCTGCACGTGAGCACATAGTGGTGTGGAGACACAGCTGGACTTGGGGTTCTGGTCTCTTGCCAGCCTCTTCTCTCCTTCCTTTTCCCTCTGTTTCTTCCTCTCAAAGCCAACCTTAGATGAAAAAGCCTGTGTGGCCAGGGCATCTCTAGTCACTTGAGCTGAACTCTTTCACTCCTCCACTTGATTCTTCCAGTGGTTTTGCCCCGCCCAGTTTCCTCTTCCATGAAGAGCTGTTGTTGTTTTTTTCCGTGGAGCCAGATCTAAGGAAGGAAATGTTTTATATTTAAGGACACCTATGATTTTAATAAAACCCTATGATTTTATTTACTGTTGTGATACTACGTCTATTGGACCTTTCATCATTATTTACTGGGAAATTGGCTGATTTTCCTTTCTAGTGTTAGATTCCAATATTCCGTATATGCCCAAACTTAACTTTTCTGTATTAATAATAGTATTCTTCATTTGAATTGAATTTGATCATTTAATATTTTACTCTCAAGTATGTATGATCTAATTGGAGCCTTTCAAGAAGCTGGTTAAGTAATTCAAATATCTTTATTTTACCAGTGAAGAAATTAAGTGATTTGCCTGAGTTACATAGATAATAAATTGGTGATTGGTTGTAGGTGATTGGTTGAGTGTTTCAACTTAGTTATTTCAAATTTCTCTTTCTACATCATGCGAGTGCTGTAGCCTTTTTAAATTTCACCTGCCAAAACTACCATTCAGAATCCATGATCATATAATCTCTAGTTTTTTTCTGATTTTCCCCTATCCTTAACTGGTGGTTCTCAGCCCTAGCTGCGTATCAGAAATGTGTTGACCTTTGAAAAAATAGGGATGCCCATGACTAGTATTTTTTAGAATCTTATCAAAGTACTACAAAGCCTGGTGTCAGTGCTCTGAACAGATCCTGAATCCAAGTAGCATTTTGGGCTTCACCTGCTCTTTGGCATTTACAGTCTTTCTTACACTACAGCCATTGGCACTAGTTTGCCTTGTCCCCATCCTTTCCTTGTATTACCTTTTAAAAGCACAGTATTGAGATCACCGTGAGATGAAGCCTGGGCTAGTCTTCTGGAGGTTACGAGATTCATGGAGGGTGGGACAAGCTGTGTAGCTGAGGGCCCTGGAACCCACCAGTCTGCCAACCAACCCCACTCAAATGAGAGCTCCAGCCGACCCCCCCTGCTGACCACAGGATGAACCAGCTGGCCCAGGAGAACTGCCCACTTGAACTGTAGAATTGTAATTGAAATAAAGTGGGCCAAGATTCCAGTGAGAGAATGAAGAATCTTAGAAGAGATAATAAACATGAGCTTCATGGAAAAACGCATCATGTCCACTTGATGCCAGGGAGAGCAACTGGACCCTCTGCCTTGGTGTGTCTTCCTATAATGAGCCCAGAAAAAAGTTTACTTCTAAGGAGCCTTCCTTAACTACCGTAATGGCTGGGGACCCTTCCTCCCCTGGAATCCACTAGATTCATCGTCTTTACACTTTACTTTGCACATCAAGTACCATCTGGGACTTGCCCAGTGGCTTTATGTGTACCTTTTGTCTTTCCCAGACTGGAACCTGCAGGAAGTCAGGGCCCTGTCGTCTTTTATTTGTGTTTCCCACAGTGTCAAGAACAAGGCTTTGCGTATCGTAGAGACAAAATAAATATTTGTGGATCTACTTTATTGTGCATATAAATAATAAAATATTTTACGTAAACGAAAAAAAAGCATAGTACTTACAAATAATGGGCACTAAGTTATTTTGTGAACTGAAGTATACTAGTGATAAAATCCAGGATTTGAAAAATTGATGTAAGATTTAGAGGAGTTTGAGGACTGAGAAAAGTCTGTTAGATTTAGCATTTAGTAGGTCATTAGAGAGTTTGAAGAAAATATTTTCAGTGGGTTGTTACGGAGTTGGTTCTACATCATAAGAGTTGAAGTATGTAAGGGGTTAGGTAGACTTCTCTTTTGAAAGGTTTGGTATTAAAGTGACAGTAGCTTGAAGTGTTAGCAAGACCCAGGGAAAGATTTTTATTTTGACAATAGAGCTTAAGAGATATTGAAGAAGAATAAAGTAATAGAATGCCTTTTGAGTTCTTAAGAAGAAACTGAACTGCTCTGTGTATTTTTCTGAATTAATACATTAAGGATAATTTTATGATCCCCAGTAGTCTGTTGAATAGTTAAATGCTTTGTAAGTAAAACTCTCAGATCCTTCCTTACACTGAGGCTATTTCCCTATTCATTTTAAGACCCATTTCCAGAAGTACTTGGCCAAAATTAAGTTTTATAAAATTCAAAAGCTTTAGTTTTATCATTTATTGTAGTTTATAAATTTTGTATTAAGGATATTTACCCAAAACAAATAGTCTTCACACATTACTCAGTATAATTTGGAAAAATTGAAATAATACTGTGAAAAAGTTGTATGCCTTCAAATATGTTGGCCATACAATATTATTTTCCTTTTGTCTGGTGGTATTATATTCATGTTTGTGTATTTTAAAAATAGTTCTTTATTGTGTATTAGAAAAACTTGAATTGATATGATCATTTAAGATTTCACGTACATCATGGCTTAGAGTGAGACCCAAATAGGCTTTGAAATTTTTTTTTAAACTAATTAGTTGTACATGAATTGAAGCAATAAACAGCTGGAGGAAGGAAAGGGAAATGATTAAGTATTTGTCAGTAGCCAATGTTCTGTTTCATTAAAACCATAGAATGCCAGAATGAATTGCCCTCCTTATACCCCTACTAAAGAAAACTTTTTTTTTTAATAGATGATTCCTCCCAGGGGCTGTGCTTATGTCTGCATGGTTCATCGACAAGATGCATTTCGGGCTCTTCAGAAACTTAGTTCTGGATCATATAAAATTGGGTCCAAGGTCATTAAGGTGAGATTGGGGGAGGAACACATGCTTTTGTTGTATTGGATTACTAGAATGTTCCTGTATTTAATTCATCTTTTTAAAATGTTAATGGGCAAACCATGACAGAAATTTATTATTTCAGTATTTCTGAGGTAAAGAATTAGATATAGGTAAAATAATACCAAAACTTCAGTCATGAACAGCCAGTTCACCATTTTATGAGTAGACCTTTTCATTTATACAAGTTTGTCTTCCCTTTACTTCTTCCTAGTTCTTCCTATTCATGCCCCTTAATTATATATTATTATTTTCTCCTTTTTAACTTCTTGTCTTAAACAACCCAGGCCCTTGTGAATGGTTTATTTTTATTTTTGTTTTCCTCTTAGTCTTTAAACTATTTATTGTCTATTTTTCCAATTTTACTTATGACTAATTTACACTTCATTTCTTCTAGTAGTATTTGGAGATAATTTATTCCATCAGTTTCTACAACTGAATTAAAAACATTAACATAACTGATTTCAAGGGAGTTAATGTGCCCATACTTTGTCATTTTATGGCAGAGAGTTTCCCTGTAAATTCGTGTCACTGGTCTCTTTTCTGGAGTACCAAGGTTTTGTTTAAATTATAATAACTATTCTGATTATCGGTAATGTAGCTTGACATCTTTTATATTGTTTTAAAGTTACAGTAAGAAGTGGATATAAACACCATCACTATCTAATGCAGGTTTTATTTTACAAACAAAAACAGAACATAGAGAAATTTTCATGGCTACTGTTCTTTCAGTATTGATGCTGTGCGCGTCCAACTGATTTTGAAAACTAGTTTTACTTGTACTTACATTGTCTACATGTTTTTGAATGTTTTTACAGTATTTCTAAGCTTTCTTTTTCCTTTCCTCTCATTCCTGATAGATTGCTTGGGCTTTAAACAAAGGTGTAAAAACAGAATACAAACAATTCTGGGATGTGGATCTTGGAGTTACATATATACCATGGGAAAAAGTTAAAGTGGATGACTTGGAAGGTTTTGCAGAGGGAGGCATGATTGATCAGGAAACTGTAAATACTGGTAAGAACCGTAAGGGTAGTTTTATTTTTAAAAAAGTACACTTAAAAGTTTGTAATTGATAAGAGTTTTTCATGACAGGGTGAGTTTATTCTATTTCCTGGCTTCTTCCCCTTCTCAAAAGAAAAAATATGAAACACTCCTGTGTTCAGTGTGTATGTTTGATGGGTTCTATTTCCTTTAAAAATATATCTTTATTGATTTCATAGAGAGGAAAGGAGAGGGAGAGAGAGAGACAGAAACATCAACGATGAGAGAGTCATTGATCGAGCCCGCAACCCGGGCATGTGCCCCGACCGGGAATCGAACCCCGATTGCCTGGATCCTAGGTCGACGCTCAACCGCTGAGCCACGCCCGGCCGGGCTGATAGGTTCTATTTCATAAGTGTCAGAGTGTAGTGTTTTAGAAGTTTATCAGTGTAACATTTTTTATGTATGTCTTTAACAAAATTTTACTTTTTGAGAGAGTTATATATTGTATATATGGAGGCTTTTTTAAACTAAATATTTCAATTCCTTGAGTTTAAATGGGAACTGGAGACTTCAGAAGCTTCTTTGAAAAACTTCCCAGATTATTTTTATTAGCATCCATGTTGAGAATGGCAGTAATAGAATCTTAGTTTAGAGAGCTGTGGTTCATATTCATGTAAAATGAGAATGCTTATAACCAAATGATCTTTTGGCTTACTCTTTTAAAAACGTGTCTTTTTTTATTTTTAAAAATGATTAGCAATTATAACCAGTAAGAAATCACAAAAGAATTGAAATATGATATATATATGTTATTACTTCACATCTGTTTAGCATAATTAGCTAATTTTTAGAATATTTTTGTTCTCGGGCCAAAGCATATATTCAGACTCTTTTTTCAGTTGTTTTCTTCTTGTCAGTTTCTCCTTTTATTTCTTGATGGATGTTCCTCTAGAACATTTATTCATTTATTAAATATTTTAGTTCTTGCTGTGTGCCAGGCATAATTTTAGTAACTGGGATTACAGCAGTAAGACAGACAGACAGACAAAAATCTTTACTTTCATGCAATGCACCTTGTAGTATAGGGGCTGACAGCCTATTATAGCCCTGGGCCACATCTTGCCGACAGCCTATTCTGTGAATAAAAGTTTTATTGAAACAGCCATGCTCACTTGTGTTTATCTATTTTATATGGCTTTCTTTTTTTCAACAGCAGTTGAGGAGTTGCAACAGAGAACATATGGCCCACAAAGTCTAAACTACTTTAGTATAGGAGAAGTTTGCCATCCATGCTTTGGTGGAGAGAAATAAATCACGAATAAAAGAGATAAACTGTACAATATTTTTCTGTTTCTAAGTTTTTAGAAGAAAAATCAAAGAAAGGGGATAGGCAGTTTGGGTGTGGAGCTAATGCAGTTTTAATTGGTTGAAGAAGGTCTAACAGAGTGGGTGATATTTGAAGGGGTGAGATGTACAGCTCTGGGGAAAGAGCATTTTATATAGAGGAACAGCAAGTGCAAAGTCTATTCAGAAATCATGAGACCCGTATGGCTTGAGCAAAGTGAGTGAGGAGTGCATAGTAGGAGATGAAGTCAGAGAGATAACGAGGGGTGATGTCATGTAAAGTCTTATCAGTCATTATAATGACTTTGATCCTTACTTTGAGGGAGATGGAGAACTGTTGGAGGAGCCATTTGATTTCCTTTGTTCTATTTTTGCATAGCTGTATTTTCAGTAAGATATTTTTGTATTAGTACTTGTTGGTCTTCTCTTGTGAGAAAATAGAGAATAAGGTTGGTTCCTCTTACGTCGTACAGCCTTTGCGATACATACCTATTACATCTCTTCTAAGTGTTCTCTAGACCAGATGTTTTAGTGTCTTTCATTTGTGTCTTGTGTCATGCTACTTTGGACTCCTTTGTGTCCTAATCAGATTTATCTGGGCAAAACCTAGATTGGCACCAATAGCAGTGGACACATCTTAAAAATAGATGTGCCCAGATAGGTGAAGGACTTAGACAAGCATGAAATAAATGTATACATAGACATAAAATGAAAAGTTGCATTTATCTAGAGGAAATCACTTTCAAATATTTTGTTTAGAGTGGGAAACTGTGAAAAGCTCAGAACCTGTTAAAGAGACGGTCCAGACAACTCAGAGCCCACCTCCAGTTGAAAAGGAGACAGTGGTCACAACCCAGGCAGAGGTTTTTCCTCCACCTGTTGCTATGTTACAGGTTAGTGCTGGGTATTTTTGTTGTTGAATGTGTTGTTTTACATTTCTGTTTTTACTCATGTATTTACTTTATAAAACTGGGAGGAAATTGTCCAAAATGGAATAAATATGAGTTTAATCAAATTTTTTTTGAAAAAAAATTTTTAGAAATGGTCTAATTCATACTTAAATATTTACTTATTGAACAGATAATTACTGATTGCCTACTCTGTGACATTTACTGTTTTAGGCACCTGAGGTTGGGATACATCAGGGAAAAAAACCCAAACACAAATCCTTGCCCTTATAGAGCTTTTGTTCTCAAAAAGGGAGACAGAAAATATAAAATAAATAAGTTTATGAGATACTATGGAAGGGAATAGGTAGTATAAGGCTGATCAGCCTGGGTAGGTGCTACAATCTTAAATAACATGGTCAGGGTAGACTTAATTGAGAATGAGACATTTGAGCAACAACTGAAGTTCCAGAGGGAACTAACCATTTTGCTATCCAAGGAAGAGGCTCCAGGCCAGGAGCGTGTTCAGTGTGTTTCAGGACTAGCAAGTGGGCACAAGACTAGTAGAAAGCAGACCTCTAGAAGGACTTTGTTTTTCAATCTGGGATGTGGAAACTTTGGAGGATTTTGAAGGAAGAAGTGACTTGATCCGGCTTCAAGTTTTAAAGGATTGCACTGGCTACTATTTTAAGAATAGACTATTGAACATTAATAAAAGCAGCAGACCAGTGAAAAGACAGTTGGAACAATCCGGATTAGAGATGATGATGGCTTAGACTAGACTGATAGCAGTGGAGGGAATGAGAAGTGGTCAGATACTCACTGTATTTTGATGGTATGACCAATGGGACCTCATAGCATGGTTGGATTTGAGTTGTAAGAAAGAGCAGAGGCTACGTTTTTGGTCTGAGAAACTGAAAAGATGGAGCTACTATTATCTGAGAGTGGGAAAGACTGTGGAAAGTTATTCTGGGAAGGACGATTGGAAGTTCAGTTCTGTGCAATGAAGTATCTTTCAGACAACGAAGTTAAGGTGTTAAATAGACCATTGATATAGGAATTTTAGAAGAGAGATGCAGCCATAGTGCAGATAAATATTTGGGAATTATTGTACCTGGGATGAGTACAAGGTATTTATGCTAGGAGTAGAAAATAAATTTATGAGACATTGTAGTCATTTTAAAGCTGTTACTGACATGCTTCCTAGTGGTAGGTTGTATAACAGAGCTAGGTACTATAAACTTAGTGGGAGGTGGCAATTTAAAATTGAGCCTGATACTCACTTTTCAAGTTGGTGCCCATTACTTGACATCACTTGAATGTAAGATCGGTTTCACAATTTCCACGTATACAATCTGTTGAAAAAATAGTGCCTTGCTTTTACCCCAAGTATGCTTACTTCCGAGTATACGAAAAGGAAAGAAACAAAGCAGCTTAATATAATGGTATTTGTTACCTTCCTAAACAAGAAATAGAAATAATTTACCTGTAGATGTTGCAAGATGTAATCATTGCAGATGGATAAAATGATTTATGGACGTTTTATTTTCTGTCCACAAAGATTCCAGTAGCACCAGCTGTGCCTACAGTTAGTTTAGTCCCACCAGCATTTCCCGTATCGATGCCAGTTCCTCCTCCTGGATTCAGTCCAATCCCTCCACCTCCTTTTCTGCGGGCAAGTTTTAACCCTTCACAACCACCTCCTGGTAAGGAATTTTTGTCTTATTAATGGAACTCTATTTAGAATATCACTTTAACTGTTCTTTTTCCAGGTTAAAACGATATAGAGCAGTGATTTTCAAGCATTAGCATATGTTGGAATCACTTGGAGGGTGTGTTACAGCAGAGATTGCTGGGCTGGCCTCTTTTTCCTTTCAGGGACTGAGAGGGGACAGGACATTGAAAGTTGCCAGAGGACTGCACTTGAAAAAGCATTGACAGAGAAGAAATGGGATCCTTTAAAATCATTGAAATGCTCTTAAAATAACTTAAAATTTATGTTGAAATTTTTATATATTAGTTCTCTATAGTTAACCATTCATCAGAAAACGTGCATTAAATTGTATAGATTGTCTCTCCTAAAAATCATTAGGATTTCCATTTGACATTAGAAATAATATCTTAAATTGCTAATTGAATCTGTAATACATTTTTGACCTAATTGTTGATACTACAAACGTTCTTGAATCAGTGTTTCTAGGTAGAAACTATAGATTACTTAAATAACACATATCAAATATAAATAATTGCTTATGTAGGATTATTTGCCTATTATAAGAAACAAAGTACTATACTTTGATTTTTGTAATTTAAGTTCTTAGCCATTGAATAGAGTTCCTAACAAATATCAACAAGGCCAAAAAGTGAATTCATTTCCTGAGAATGTTTGTAATTTATTTGTCTTGTAACATAAAATTTTAAAATTACAGTTGAATACATAATTTGAAATTGATGCAGATTATAATAAGAATTTTATTTCTGTATATTTTGAATATTTGAAAATTACTGTGATTTGAAAATTAAAATCTTTTCAGAAGATATTTTAAAATTATTATTTCAAAAACCATACTATGTAGACTTTTATAAAGTCATTGTCCAGCATTCATTTGTTGAAAATCACATATCTTTATTTTTTCTTCTTTTTAGCCACTGTTTTCTAATTGAATTTAATGGTAGCTTGGTATTTTAAAAATGCAAGGAAATAGGTTTATAGTTTGATCATTTAATATTGAAAATCATCAAACAGCCAGTATTAAATTGAATATTTATTTCAGTGCTCAAAACATAGTATAGTGACATCCAAGGTTAATGAAAATATCTGACCTAGTGGGTAAACAGCATATATATCAAAGAAATACAATAGCACCTTCTGCAGATGACATTATTGCATATAATGTTATCAGCAGCTTGAAATGCAGTGTTTAACTCCCCAGGTAGTCAGTCACCATGCTAACATATAAACAGGTGACCTGGCTTGTATTAATCTTTAATTTTATAGCATTGTGGAGAGTGCCACAGGACTTCAACAAATGAGTAAATAAATGAGGATTGCTCATGATGAGGATCTCTATGCATTACTTAGCTTACTCTATACTTTTCTAAGGACCAAATAAGGTAGTATATATAAAAGTAATTTTTAAAATGGAAAATAGATTCACAAATATGAGGTTGTAGTAATGAAAGATTTATTTAAGAATGTAGAATTTCATTTTTAGTTATTGAAATCTTTGATTTAAAAGAAGTAGCTTTTCGTGTGCTATTTTATTTTGGGCCTTTTTCCCCCATGTAGGTTTCATGCCACCTCCAGTTCCACCACCTGTTGTACCACCGCCTACTATTCCACCAGTAGTGCCAACACGTGAGTTTTCAATTTTAGAATTTTCATAATTCACGGTAGTGTTAATGTGTCGTTTCTCATTCTTGTGAATTTATTGTTTTTTTATTATTATTAAAGTTTTCAGATGTGCATTTGTTTTTTGTTAAATGATTTCTAAAAAATTAACATTATATAACAGTCCACGTTCAGATTGGCTTTCTTGTATCAAAATGTCTTTATAATCGGTTTATTTTAGTTAAAATTCAAAGAAGGGTCTCCATAATCATATTTGTGTGTGTATTAAATATCTTAATCTAGAGTCGTACTGCCCAGACCTTCCTTTCCTTTTTAATTTTTCATATTTTTGATTCATTGAAGAAACAGTCACTTCTATATGCAAGATTCCAAATAATAGATTTGGTTTTTTGCTTCTTTGTGGTATTAAATTTGTTCCTCTATCTCCTTGAATTTCCTGTAAATAGGAAGTTTTTAGCACCAAAGGCTTGCTTCGATTTCACTTCAACTTTTTTGGCAAGAATCCTTAAAGTTGAGGTGCTGTAGACCTGATATTGCATCACATCAGGAGCCACGCAGTGCCTTTCTTTCCCACTTTAAATGATGTTGAGATGTATCAGAGAATTTAGGTAGGGGAACCTGGTGATCAAAAAAGTTTCCCATCAAGTTTGCATCTTAACTGGTTTCATCCATTGTTTATTATTACTTAAATCTACTTTCATTCGTATCCAAGTGGTCTTTTGAATTTTATAATTCCTTGCATATTTCTTAATTAGAATTTTTCTGTAAAGAAAAAGTTTTTCTTATCAATCAATAGTATCTAGTTACCTTGACATACAGTTGTGCAGGTAGATGGTAAATTCTTTCCTGTAAATGCCATTTTTCAGAGTAATGAGTTCTGTAGTATTTCTGGAGATACTCAGTGGCTGAAGCTGGAGAGGGTTTCTTTTCTTTTCTCCCCCTCTTCCTCTCCCTTCCCCTCCAGTTCTTTCTCCTCATTTTCTTTAGTGTTTATGGACACTTGCTTCCAAGCAGTTGCATTCACTTTTCTCTTTGCATTTTAGTTTGTTCCATCTTTGACAGTGAGAGACTGTTCGTGTTGCCTCTGTATCTTTTGAGATGACTACATCAGTTTCTGAGAGCTTCTTAGTTCTGGGGCCCAGTGTTGACCGAGTGGACTTTAATTGTGAAGAGAACGTATATGGTAGAGAACTTCCCTTTTGATAATATCCATTTTCCTTATGTTTTTAAACTCTTAACACTCCTTTAGTGTTTAGACAGTATTAGGTTCTTCCTTTTTGTTATTGTTGGTTAATTAGGAAGAATTGTTTATTCTTTCTGAAAATTAGAAGGTGTTCAGAATCCATTTCTGAATTCACTTTTTACAGAGACTCAGCCTAGAGCTGACCTTCTAATGATTTCTTACTCATTTTGGAAAGTCCAGGATAAAAATAATGGAGAAAGAGAAACACCAGTGTTCCAGACACTCTCCTATTTGCTCACCTGATCTAACTTAAATAATTTAATTCTCATAATTTTCATACATGGTCCCAGGTGATTTTTTTCCCTGTTTTACAGCTCTCTTATGTGCAGACAGTTTGTCCAAATAATTTAGAGCTAAATGTGAGGATAGTACAGTTCCTAAAATCCCCAAGTAAAAGATTTAACAGTGTTATGATATAAATTGGACTAAAAATTCTTAAATTTAATTATGATTTTATATTCCTCTACGTTATGTTTTTTAACATATAAATGATATATACACTTGGGCTTTTCTATGCATTCTTCTATTTTATTTTTTAATTTTATTCATTTTTTTAATCCTTACCCAAGGATATGCTTTTCAGAGAGAGTGGAAGGGAGGAGGGGGGGAGAGAGAAACATTGATGTGAGAGAGAGACATCGATTGGTTGTCTCCCACATGCGCCCTGACCAGGGCTGGGGATTGAGCCTGCAACCGAGGTATGTGCCCTTGGCCAAAATTGAACCCGGGACCCTTTAGTCTGAGGGCCAACACTCTAACCATTGACTCAAACCAGCTAGGGTTCTACGCATTCTTTTAAATGGAATGTTTATACTTTTTTATTTGTAGTCCACTTTATCTCCTCTCATCTGATGAGCTCCTAACCTCCTTTGACAAAAAGTTGTGAATATAAGAATCCTATTCCATTGTAATTTCAAGGGGATTGGGCAGATATTCATTCTCATACATATTTGTCAGTCTGGCACTAATCATTTCTTTATATTCAGATACGTACATACTGGAATCCTTGGGAAAATTATGATTCTTTTTGTATTGCTGGGATTTCCTTAAGTTACTGGGCCTTATTTTAAAAATGTTATTAAACATTTTTGTGCAAATGTTATTAAACATTTTTGTGCAAATATTTCTAAAAAAATTTTTATAAAAAAAATAAAGTTATCCCCTTCATGGTGACTCATTTGTCATATTGAGCATCAGTTATTACATAACTGATAGGTTATTACAGAGATGCTATGCAATGAAGCACTCAAGCTGCCAAAAGTTAGTTTTCATTACAAATAAAATAGAGGGACCAGAAGAGAATTCCTATAAGGCAGGTTGTTTCATTCAATGTTGTTTGGCTACTATGTTTATGAGATGCCTTAGGAACTTAACTCTTGTTTATATCAACTAGCCTATGGTAAAATTGATTTTGTTAGAACATTTTAAAGTCACAGAACCTATGGACAACCTTAAGTGAGGACTCACTGTGTCATGTTAATTGAGCAGTCTTACCAAACAATTGAGAGAAGTTAGGAAGTCACTTAAAACTTTGGCAAGGTCATTATTATTCATGGTTAATATTTTAACTTAGCACATGAATGATGAGATGATTAAGTCTGAAATATAGTCTCTCACTCTTTAAACAGCTTTGGTACAGCCGCCATTATCCATGACTCCAGAAACTGTGAAAGAGGTTGGATTTGGTAGCCTTGTTCTACCCGGTGGTTCTGTTGCCAGCAGTCTTGCTACTTCCACTCTGCCAGCTGGAAATGTTTTTAATCCTCCCCCTAAACAAGCAGAGCCTGAAGAAAAAGTACCTCACCTTATAGAACACCAGATTTCTTCTGGTGAAAGCACCAGACCAGGTAAACTGAAATAAGAACTCCCAGAAACACACAGTTAAATCATAAGCACTGCTTCTCTATAGTAGTGTTTAATTCTGAGGTGCCAAGTATTTGTAACCAGTTTAATGCACAAATGTTGAAATGTTAGTTTTTAAAAAGAGGTCACTGTCCTCTAAAATTTCTATTAAAAACAAGTTTGGCATTCTGTTCAGGATAGTAGAGATTTTGACACCTTTCCATTGAGACCTGTCTCCCTCTTTTTTCTTTTCTTACTGGTACTGTGAAATTGCACAAAATATGAATACTTACAAAACAATAAAAATGAAGTACTGCGCATAAATAACTTCTAACAGGTATTATCTAGCCAGTTCTAGAGATAAGTATGGTGTTTTGAGAGCAAAGCTGTGTGGGGTTTTTTTGTGTTTTTTTTTTTTGGCACCACTGTTTGTACATTAAGAATTGTTGTTTAAAGGTGGAGAATCGGTATAAAACCTGGCATTTTTGTCAACTTAAAGATTGTGTTTTAATATATTAAATTCACTGGAAATGGTATTAATTTTAGCTATAATTTTTACTTCGTATTTAGTATACTTTGGATTTTGGAGGAAACAAGTCGCTGATTAACTATAAGCTAACTGCTGGAAAGTATAGCATTACTTTCCTTTTCATGCCAGAATAATTTTTGTTTTTGTCTCCCTCTTTCCATTTTAGTGATTCCAAATGATATTCCAAGTAGCTCTGCAATTTTAGGAGGACAGCCACCAAATGTGACAAGCAATTCTGGAATTCTTGGAGTTCAAAGACCAAATGCATCAAGTAATTCTGAAATTCTTGGAGTCCGGCCCTCTAACATTTCCAGTGGTTCTGGGATTATTGGAGCCCAGCCACCAAATATTCTAAATAACTCTGGAATTTTGGGAATACAGCCACCAAGTGTTTCGAGTAATTCTGGACTTTTGGGAGTGCTACCTCCCAATATCCCTAACAATTCTGGACTTATAGGAGTACAGCCACCAAATGTTCCAAATACATCTGGACTTTTGGGAACACAGCCACCAGCTGGGCCTCAAAACTTACCCCCTTTAAATCTCTCTAATCAAAGGATGCCTGTAATGCCAATGTTAGACCTTCGTCCAGGACTAATACCACAGACACCTGGACCAAGATTTCCTTTGCTACAGCCTGGAATTCCACCCCAACGAGGAATCCCTCCCCCATCAATACTTGATTCAGCTCTTCATCCTCCGCCTCGTGGTCCTTTTCCTCCAGGAGATATTTTTAGTCAGCCAGAAAGACCTTTTCTAATTCCTGGAAGGCAAAGTATAGACAATATTACTAATCCAGAAAAAAGGATACCACTTGGGAATGATAACATTCAACAGGAAGGAGATAGAGATTACCGGTTTCCGCCTATAGAAACCAGGGAAAGCATGAGTAGACCTCCCCCAGTGGATGTTAGGGATGTGGTTGGACGGCCTGTAGATCCAAGAGAAGGTCCTGGAAGGCCTCCATTGGATGGTCGGGATCATTTTGGAAGACCTCCTGTAGATATTAGGGAGAATCTTGTGAGGCCAGGTATGGATCATCTTGGTCGAAGAGACCACTTTGGCTTTAATCCAGAGAAGCCGTGGGGGCATAGAGATTTTGATGAAAGAGAGCATCGGGTTCTACCTGTCTTTGCTGGTCCAAAAGGCTTACACGAAGAAAGAGGTAGATTTCGGCCTGGAAACTATCGATTTGATCCTAGAAGTGGTCCTTGGAACAGAGGATTTGGACAAGAAGTTCACAGAGATTTTGATGACCGCAGAAGACACTGGGAGAGGCAGAGGGATAGGGATGACAGAGATTTTGATTTCTGCAGAGAAATTAATGGAAATCGTCTTGGACGAGATAGAATTCAAAACACTTGGGTCCCCCCTCCTCATGCTCGGGTTTTTGATTTCTTTGAAGGGGCCACTTCTCAACGAAAAGGGGATAATGTGCCTCAGGTTAATGGTGAAAATGCTGAGAGACATGCTCCACCACCCCCCTTACCAGTACAGAGTGATCCCGAACTTTATGAAAAACTGACATCTTCAAGTGAAATAAACAAGGAGAAGAGTGACACAGTTGCTGATGTAGAAAGTGAACCAGTGGTAGAAAACACAGAAACTGAGGGGACATAATCATCACTCAGTAGGTAAAAAGATACCTTTTGTAAAGTTGTCATCTCTGTAATAGATTAATGGCTGACTGGACCATAGGTGTTCACTTTTGTCTGCCAGAATTAAGTTAACCTGATGTTCATGTTCACTTTTCTCTTAAAATAATTGTACAACTGACTTGTATAGACATTGTTCTTAATATGAACATGGTAGGTAAACATTTTTTATTTTTCTGATAAAATATAAATGTTGCCCCCAGATTCTTTTAACTTCAAGGAAATGAATAACAGCTTGTCAGAGACTTCCTATGGAAGAAAGGATTTTTTAGATACTACCATTAGGTTGGCTATGGTAATAGATATATTTCAGAATAGCAAGCCGTGGTATATCTTATCCATATCTTTAGGCTGCTGCAGAATTTTAAGATAATAGACAAAGCTGTGATATTTTATGCAAAGACTGGCTCTAGGTATTTGAGGAGCACAATACAGAGATTTTAAAAAGTGATTTTGTAAAATCTACACTATGGTCTCTGTTTCTCCAAAGTAAGTGTTTGTGATTTGTTCCTCATACTGCAGTGAGTAAAAAGAAAACAGAAAACAACAACATAAATATGAAAGTACGTTTCAATGTTGAGTGAATTTTGTTTTTAGATGCCAATAAAACTTATTTGTTTGATAACAGTGTTCTAGGAATTGTATTTTTTTAACCTACAAATTCTTAAAACCCTGAATCATTAGCAGCATGTGCTTAGTTGCAAAAGTTTCCTATTATTAACAACAACAATGAAGAACTGTGTGGTGGAACAAGCATGTACTCTAATATAAAAATCATGCAGTCTCATTAGTTTGTATGTAAAATCTGTGTATATTTATTGTGTAAATCATGTAGGTTATTTTGTTTCTCTGTATGTCTGTATTCATGCACATACAGAGAAAAACAGAAGTTGATAGTTTAGATAAAATATTTTTTAAAACGATAGAATTAGAGAAATTTGGCTACTTGACATTGCTCATAGTTAACAGCTCTTAGCCTTTATGAAGGGAAAATAAGAAATACTGTAAAGAATACATTGGACATTTGGTAATTTTTTAAAAATATAGTTAAGCATGAAGCCAAATTTAGCATGGACCCAGATTTCATGTAAATGCTTGCATTGCTTTGTGGCACACCGTATTGACCATTCTGTATAGGTAGTGCTAGTACTAAAGTACTGGCTGGTCACTTGCCTGAAGTGAGTATCTTAATGGCACAAAATGTATAGTGGTGTTGATGGATTTAAAAACACTAATTTGTATACCAGGAACAAAGTGTCCATCGTGTGTTTTGTAGGCTCTGGGTAACACTGTGCAGATTAATCTCCAAGGTAAACTGAGTAGCAGAAGAATTTGGTCTTGGTTTTCTGTTATTTATTTTTTGTTTTAATACTCATTCATTTGCTGTTTGTGTCTCCTTTGGATTTTACGTTTATATACACATATATATAGAACCATTGGTGTTTTTTCATTTCTAATGATGGCTTTCATTTGGTCCTGTGAATAGTCCTTTAGTGTCCTGTGCATTTTCAACAGTTCATCATTTGCTGTATTTATCTAGAATTCCTAAGTTAGGTTTGTCAACAAACCGCCCTTCTCCCCCACCTCCCCATCATAAGATCTTGCCAGCTATTTAAAATTGGATGTTTTTGCTTACCTTATCTGATGATCTAGAGAACTATAGAGTTTTAAGATTCCTGGCCAAAAATAAAGTCTTTTCTTCTTACAGGTTCTGAAATAGAAATAGTACATTATTTAATTTGTTATTTGGAAAAGTGAGTGAGGAGGAAGTCGGTGTTTATTTTTAAGGTAATTCAGTTCAATAATTTGAGTTGATTTCGGATCTTTTCCTTAGGGTAATGGGAAAAACTGTGACAATGGTACAAAGTTTTATGTTTGGAAAAGATCTGCCTTGTCTTCAAGGAAATTATATTCCTGGGATGTCTCTCAGACTCCTTCAGTTGCATTTACTATTATTAAAACTAAGTGACATTCACTTGGATTAGGTAATAGGAAAGAACGTGAGGCTTTTCAGTGACTTTTAATCCCAGGCTTTTTAATCGCTGTTGGGCCTTTATGTGCAAACTTAAAAACAAACTGTGTGCAAGTATTGCACTGGCTGAAAGATTGTGGTGGTGCAAATTTCCTAGTCAGTTGTCAATACAGAATCTAGAAGCCCGTCTTGGAAATGTGTGATGCTTCTGACATAGCGGGGGAAAAATTATGTGTACTTATTCTCTCGTTGACCTTGTTTTGTTGTGTAGTATTTAAGTGAAAGGATTTTAGTCATTCTCATACTGAATTTTCAAAATTGATATTTACGTTCACCATTTTTTAAGACGATGGACAGAAGAGTTACTTTTCTTTGATAAGTTTGACATAGGACCTATCACATTTTTGATGCTTTGATCACAGTGCTGTCACTAGAACACTGGCAACTAGAAATATGCAAGGAGTAAGTAGCCTAACCACTTTAATAAAATGATTTGAAGTGCTACAGGCAGTATCTACATTAGATACCAAATCATAGTGTTTTGGTATGTGATTTGTTAGAGAATGATACGACTTTCTGAAATACCAGTAGACTTCAGTGTTAATAGACATTAATATTTAAGTTGCTTTTATGTCTTTAAACGTTTCATTAAACATTGGTTTCTGTTCTTAGCATAAATGCATATACTGTACTTTGATCATTTATATTGTAGATAGAAACTTATTTTACAGCAAAGTAGTCTTTACCTGCAGCATATTATTGGCGGAATGTTCCTTTATTCTAATTTTATATTGTTACATAGGGTGGACAAATACTTAGAAAGCATAGGAAGATGGAATAGTATAAAATTATTTGCTTAAAACTCTGGAAATTATATGATAATTAATTGGTAAAATTTGTTACATAAGTTACTACATTCTTACCAGAGTCGTTTCTTTTGTCCTGTTAATTGCTTCATTAAATTTATTGGCTGTTTTTTATTCGTATAAAAGATTATAGTTTATGGAGATACACATTTAGGGTTGTTTGGGGCATGGGACAATTGTGTTACATTTAAAAAGAAAAAGCTCTTTTAATTGGAAAAAGTATTTTTTTTTTTTTTTAATCATCAGATCTAAGGTGCCATTGACTGTATGAAGCACCATTTGGAATTTAAAAACATTGCTTCCAATATGACATGCCAGTGGTTATAAAACCCATCCTTAATTCAGAAATGTCAAAATATAAAAAGTCTCTTAGGGTCAAAGATAAATGGTATTCATTATTGAACTTTAACATGTATTTTAGATGGGCACAACCTTTCATGAAAAAGAAAAATTTAATATTCAATTAAAATTTTATTATACCTTATGTGCCTTCATCATCATTACTTTATTTGGTGCTATGTTAATAAAATGTTTTAAGGGCTTTTAACTCTTTCAAAGAAAGAAAACATTTTTCTTTTTGAATATTTTACATAACATAGAAGAGAAAAGCAGTATCTATATTTTTAAGATAAGCAAAATAAAAACTACGTTATTGTAAGTAATCAAATACTGCAGTGTGGCAGGGAATTATAAATGTTTTAATTGATACTGTGGTGTTATATAAAACATCTTTTAAATTTCAACTTAAGTTGATTTATATTTTCCACTTTTGAAGAAAAAATCAGGTTACTATAGTTTATAATAGGAAATTTTAAAGCAAGGTACCTTGATCCAGCAAAACTTTCTGGAGCTAGAATTTAAAATTAATGGCCCACATATTTTTCTTTTGGGGTTTGGGGGGCATACTTCAAATAGGGGCATGCGTATTGGAAGCAATTTGAAGTACACTGTTTCTATGATTTTCAGGCAGGAAATGTATAATAAATAGAATCACCTGTGGAGCTCTTTGAAAATTTGGGGGTTTGCGGAGGGTCACCACAAACTTAACTAGTGCAGAATTTCCTGTGGCAGTACATATTTACACACACACACACCCCTACCTTCCTGGGTGTTGTGTGTGTGTGTGTGTGTGTGTGTGTGTGTGTGTGTGTATATTTAAACCCCCACAGACCACCACCTTAGCTATATTAAAATATGTAAACATTTAATATACCATATACTTGAGATTCTTAAAGTATTTTAAAAAGTAAAATACTTGAGTGTTACACAATTATTTTTGGTGTTTCACTAAAGTAGATAATTGTGGCAACTGGTGTTGGAGGCTGAATAAAAATTAGAGAAGTCCATTATCACAGATGTTTTAAACTCAAGCATTAATTTTAAAATGATTTGTAACAGGAAAGGATAGAAGGAAGCATATGAGATCGTTTTGTAGGAAGAATTTTTGACTCAAGTGAAACTTTGTTTAGGATACCTCAAAGAAAAATTTACTTGATATCACGTAATTAAATGCTTTGATCATAGAAGAGCCGTTTGGGACAAAGCAGCAAGCATTAACTTTATCAGGGACTGCAAGTAGTGTTCCTGGTGGGACTGCTGCAGTGTGGGTTGCACATCAAAAACAAATGAAATCAATATTGTATTTTGGCATGAGCTTTGCTCAGACATTTTCTTCCCCTCTACTTAATTCTCTGTCTCAGAGGACTCTTCATCCTGTGTGCACACCTAGAGTTACTCTGTCTTGTTGTAATCAAGCTACAGAACAAATTTCCTAAGTAATTTGTAAAATACATATAGTATATCAAGAAGTAGAATCATGCTAATGGGCTGACTTTATATTGTATGAGAAGTGTGGGACAGGAGGATGGCCTGTAATGAAGGAAGCTGAGAGAGTGCCTATGCACCGAGCTCAGTGTGTGGTAGGGAGGGAACTTGGAACTTGTGACTGTGAGCCCTGAGAACTAGAAGAGCTGAATGAGCATAGTACACTTGCATAGCAATGGTAGATACGGGACACTGGGCTGACCTGTGTTGTACCCCCCCCCCCCC